TTTTTTTTTCATCACTAATTGATGGATGTCTAAAATATAAAAATAGGAGAAGCCTAAAAGAAGCCCGATGCCCGGCCCGCGTCTGAACTATTACGTGAAAATTGTTCCGAAGCCCGGCCCAAGGGGCGTAAAAAAAGGTCGGGGCCCGTTGGGCCCGGGCTGAAATGCAGGGCTCTATTTCAGGCAAAAGGAAACACCCATACTATGCAGCAATCATCCTTAATTGCAGAAATGTGGCAAAACATCTCTGTAGAGAGCCTCAGATTATTAAATTCGAAAGTGCTTTCCATATTTGGATCAATATAGGCTACATTTGTGAACGCACATTTTCTGCAATGTCGCGCGTCAAGTCACGCTTCCGTGCGCGTCTTACAGACCGCAACTTACAACCGCAACTTCATTGTGCTGTTACTCCTTTCGAGCCGAATTTCACAAAATTGGTCAGCTCCCGACAGCATCAGGTGTTTTATTAATAGAGAGTATAATTATTTATTTCAATGTAATCTGGTTGTTTTGTATTGGTGACATAACATGTAAATGATATGCGTGCGGTCCGTGAGACTTGCACTTGGACCATAGTGCAGCCCACTGGAAAAAAAAAGGTCGAGAACCACTGGGTTAGACCAATCAATTACAATAACACACACTTGTTACTTGAAAATGCGTCTAATCCAAATACTTTACCCAGCTGCATCAGCTTCATCTGCAGGTTTTAAAATAAATAGCGATATGCACATAAGTGCAGTAGGCTAAATATCATTTGCATTTGAAGATAAGTATTACATTGATAATGATGGTGACTGACAGAAATACTGGGAGCAGGTACCAGGAATTTAGAACATCCTAGAAAGATCACAGTCAGAATGTTCAGCAGGTTTTTGTTAATGAATTGTCAAGTCTCTGATGTTACTGGCTGTCAGAGCTCTTTGCACCTTTCTCATTCCTGGGTTGATTGAGCAGCTCCTCTATTCGTTGAAGGTCATTATCAGTGTCCTGATGTTTCTCACACTTCATTTCTCCAATAAGATCATCTGTAAGCTTGAGACGAGCATTCCTGTAATGGAGACATCAGCTCAAGTTTCTGTTCAAAGTGACTAGTTTATCAGTTCTGTCCAAGTACGAAAAGATTCTCTTTTCCTGGTAAAACTAACCATTCAGCGACTCTCTGCTCATGTAGCTCTCGTCTTTCCCGTTGTCTCTTGTCATGCATGGTCTCGCCCGCCAGCTTCTGCAGACCAATGACTACAACTCCAGCCGGCAGCCTGTTATAGCATCACATGTTTGTCTCAGAGCAATTAAGCAATATCACATGAGCGAGAGTGCCGCTGTGCTGAATAGCAGCACAGATATAAACACAAGGTGCACAGGTATTCATGGCCATGCTTATATTTAGAACAAAAGCATTTAATTCTCCTGTTCTATAACAGATTAACAGATTTTTCAGACACAATATAGCCATGCGTTTTGTTCATGTTTTTTTTAATGAATGAAAATACTTCCAGAAGTCAAAACAGGATGAAACATAACACAAAGAACAATTTTTCAGGAAACTATATGCTAAGAATTTATTTCATTTGCATATCTCAAATGAGCAAAACATATAAATCCAAATGTTTTGTAGACAAATGTGTGAATGTTTTAAATGTCAATTATGCGTAATGTGTAAAAAGAACAATAAACAAACTTTTACTTGCCATGCCAACATTTCACTGGCCCCATCATGAAAAATAAGTTAAATAAAGACAAGTAAACAGTCAGTAATAAAATAAGAACAAATAAACAAATTCCAAGCAATACCATAAATATATACAATAATAAAGCAGGTCATTCAGTCAAGAGTGTCACAAAGCAAGGCCAGACACAACAGATAAGTGCAAAACAGGATGGTTTATTGACTTGGTAAGTGGATGACTGGAATAGGTTAGTTAAAGGCAGGTGAATGTCAACACAGTGAATGGTTCCAGGGTGCTTATCTGAGTTCTGATGGAGAGGATCGTATGCCAGTTACGTTGGAGATCGTGGAGCTGTTTCCATGGAGTCGTTGGAGGATCGTGGGCGTAACAGCAGGTAATTCGTTCTAGGAGATTTTGGCAGAGAGAGTCCAGAGTAGTTCGTAGGAGTGAACGGTAGACCGGACAGTGAGTGGCTGTGCTGTGTGTGTATTTATAGTGTGGCTTGATTGGTGACAGCAGGTGCGGGTGATCAGAACTCAGGTGACTGTGATCGGGTAATTATCCTGGATGGTGACTGAAGTGACTGTGATGACTCCCTGACAAAGAGCAGATTTGACTAGAGTGAATTTTTCTTTTCTTTTTTGTTGTTGTTGTTCCTTAATTAACATTAATGACTCAAGACAGCAGCAAGTTGAATAATTTGCTGTCACATTAAAGACCAAATGCATGGATCACATATTTTCTTCCGACTGTTCACGTTGATTTAATACTTATTTTAACTCAGTTAAGAATCTGCTTACATGCTCACCAAAAATGGGCATTTTGACTTAATTTTGTGTATTTGTCCATTACATAACGCAAAAGAGAACACAGTTCGGACAGAAGCAGCACGTGAGTACCAAATAGAGTTATCTTTCATTCTTATGCTTAAATTACTCAAAATCAATGCTTAAACATTCTTGCTCTTTAAAGGGATACTCCACCCAAACATGAAAAATTCCCTTATCATTTAACCTCATGCAGTCCCAGATGTATGTGACTTTATTTCTTCTGATGAACACAAAGCTTTTTAGTTTATATAATGCAAGTGTACAGGACCACTTCAAAGACTACATAAAGTGAACATGACTGTAAAGTTTAGAATACTAGTATTTTTCTTACACCTGCTTATCATTTCACTTAAGACATGTTTTTGGCCAGATACTTTTACTTTTAACTGACTAAAATCTTCCACTCCGTATCTGTACTTTCTCTTAAAGTACAGATACTGAGTATACAACTGTATTTGACACTAGGAGCTGAGGTGGGGCAGAGCAGGCATAATTTAGTCTGTCTTTAATGCAGCATTGAGTCTTTACACTGAATTTTAAGCAGGCAAAGAGCAGTTTTAACTGTGGAGTCTGCAGCCTGTTCAATCAAATTAGTAGACAGAAACTAATTCAATATGACTCATTATTATTATGAGCAGTACTACTAGTAGTATTATTTATGTGTTGTGCTCATTAATATATTGACAAACTTCAAAAACTAGCCAAACTAAAATTTGCAGCCAGTAGTAGTTTTGGAATCATACACATGTATTTTTAATGTATGTTTTCACTTTGTGTGTGTGTTTTTTTTTTCATTTTAGCTTTCGTTAATGACAATAACACAGATGAAATGCTCCATGATCTTTCACAGAACCATTTTTTAAGTCCATTAATAGTGAGAATGTTAGCATCTAACAATCTTCACACTACCTAGAGCATAATGTGCTATGTATAGCTTTTTTTCACTTTGTTGCACCTGACTGAGTCATTAGGGTCTGTTTGCAGGCACACTGTGTGCTCCAGGTGTGTGTTAAACAGCTGTGTGAGGCTCTTCTAACTAAGTATCTCTGCTAATGAGGGGAAAGAGTGAGAAAGTATTAATGAACCTAAAACAAAAATAAATATAACATGAAAACTGAAAAAAATAAGTAAATAAAATAAAAGCACAGCACAGCTGATGGTTCTTCAGATCAAAGACTTCTGTTTAGCATATGGGTACCTCTGGTAATGAGAAAAGAGAGAAAAGAGGAGGACTGGAGGAGCAAAAGGGGGGAAGGGAGTTGTTTTGGCTGGGGGATGCAGATGTAAGACACAGGGTTACAGGGAAGGCCACAGCTGACTGCCAGAACACCCTCAGAGAGGGAGGGAGATGGTAGTGTGAGGGAGTTAAGAGTGCAGTGTTGCTCTAGGGTAGACACATCTCTCCAGAGAGAGCAACAGCGCGCGCGCGCGCGCGCACACACACACACACACACACACACGCATGTACACACAATCTCTCCCTCTCTGTGTTCTACTCACCCCAGTACAGCTCCTATGGGTATACCAGCCAGCAGCCCTCTAAGTCCCAGATTCAGCCGGAACACTCCTCCTGTGAGAGCTGAACACAAACACATGTGAATACTGTCATTCTTTCCTGTCATCTTAGTATGACAAGCAAAAATGCTTTTAAAATCAGTTAACTTGAGGCACAGACACAGGCCTACTAAACCATCACCCAGAGGATGAGTTTGTGAACTTACCACCTGCAGCAGCGAAATGGCTCAGAGCATTTTTGTCTCTGTACACTGTCAATCCAGTACTTACAGTGCTGTAAAAAAGATTTGAACAGCATAAAGCATTTTTCCTAAATGCGGAAACTGACAGGCTATTCATTTTCCTGCAACAACAATCCTAGTACAGTACTTCTAAACCAATTCTACTGTTTTCAGACACATGCTGTATATATTTCTAAAACTCAAATATGCTCTTCAAATATTGCTGCACATTGGTAACAACTAGTAACTGTTAATAAACTAGCAGTGTCTAAAGAAACTGCAAAATAATGACGGTTTTCAAATAGGTTTCCCCAAACAGCCCTACCAATGCCTTTCAGCCTTCCCCAAAATCACACCATTGGCTAAATCAGTAGTGTTTTCACAGCTTTCAAAAAGAGGAAGAAAAAAATAGAGAGATTGATTGCCGCAATCAGAAGAGAAAACAATGTCAAATTCACCGTCATTCCTATAGACACTGTATTAGAAACACCCTCATAGCAGCGTTAACCATTTTTTGTAATTTGATGAAAAGTAGTATAATACAAGGTGTTGTAAATGTACATATATTTTTTTAAAATATGAAAATATAAAAACTTTGCAGGATTTGCGATGCTGATGACCATTAAAACGCATCATCACAGTCTGTGAAAACAGTCCATGATACATAGTCCACCCAAAAATGAAGATTTGCTGAGAATGTCCTCACTCAGGCCATCCACGACATAGATGAGTTTGTTTCTTCAAAGAACATTTAGCATTAGATCACTTGCTCATTAATGGATCCTCTGCAGTGAATTTGTGCCATCAGAGAACAAACAGCTGTTAAAAACATCACAATAATCCACAAGTCACACGACTTACATGACAGTCCCTTCAAATAACGTCTTGTGAAGCGAAAAGCTGAATGTTTGTAAGAAACAAATCCATCATCAAGATGTCACTTCCGAATCAGAATCTATAATAAATTTTTCTCTTGTAAAAAAGTCCATCCTCTGTTGTCCTCTCACATTAAAACCAATCAACATATTTGTTTAGAACTGTTTTGGCTTGACGGAGCTTGATCTGTGCATATTTCTCTCCTGATGCAGACAAGGTCACTTTTTCACTGAAGAAAGCAATATTATGGATTATGAAAAACAAAACAGTCCAAAACAGATTATGGGCTTGTATTTTAGCTGGAAGCGATGGTTTGAAGTTAAAAAGTCTTAATGACGGATTTGTTTCTTGCAAACATTCAGCTTTACACTTTACAAGATGTCAACTGATAGACTGGAGTCATGTGGAATACTGTGATGTTTTTAATCAGTTGTTTGGACTCTCATTCTGACGGCACCCATTCACTGCAGAGGATGCATTGGCGAGGATATGATGTAATGCTAAATGTATCCAAATCTGTTTTAATGAAGAAACAAACTCATCTACATCTTGAATTGGCTGAGGATGAGTACATTATGAGGCTATATCTTTTGTGTAATACAAGTGTAATGCAAGTGCATTCAAACATGTAATTAAATGTCTCACAAATTAAACCTTAACATAACTAAACTTACTTAAACATGGTCACAAAAGCTGCTACCCTCCAGCTCCACCTCCAGCCAAAGCGCACAAACCCACGAATAGCTGCATTATGGGCTGAGCGCTGGAGAGACAAAATATATACACATAACATCAATGTATGCACATTTCAGCTCCATTAAATAATACTGTGCTTTTCTTAGCTATACAAAATGTAAAAACAAAGCAATTGAAGCGTCAAAAAACATTTTACAGTACTAAAGTATACAGATGACTATGTGAATGAAAATCTGTTGCTACAGTGGGTACATAAAAGAATCACCTCCCTTTAAAATAATCACATTTTGTTGTTTTGCAGCCTGAAATGACGGACACAGTTTTTGTTTTATCCAGCTGTGTTTACTCAGTGCAGCTTTTAACATCCAAGTGAAAGATATAACACCCACATGTTAGAATTTTTTTTTTAAATAAAAATAAAAAACAGAATCACCGAGTTGGAAAAAGGATCACCCTCTTGTGTCAGTATTTTTTTGAACCACCTTTTGCTTTAATTAAAGTCTTTAGTCTGTTGAGATACATCTCTACTAACTTTGCACATCTAGACTTTGCAATATTTGCCCACTCTTCTTTGCAGAACTGCTCAAGTTCAGGTAAATTTGATGGTGAGCGTTTGTGAACTGCAGTCTTCAAGTCATTCCATAGATTGTCAATGGGGTTTCAGTCTGAGCTCTGACTAGGCCATGCAACAACATTCACCTTTTTCTCCTTCAACCACTGTGTGCTCAGTTTTGCTGTGTGCTTTGGGTCATTGTCATGCTGGAAGGTAAACTCTGTTTTCTTTTTATTTATTATATGATTTTAAAAACACCTTGCTACGTGTACTGCGTTAAGCTTACGTAGATTTGTTCTAGCACTTGCATATCATTGCTCTTTTCTTGATTTTGATTGCTTCCATTGTCCTCATTTGTAAGTCGCTTTGGATAAAAGCGTCTGCTAAATGTCTAAATGTAAATGCTTATCAAGGGCGTTAAAATATAAAGGAAAAGAAAAAATATTTTCAGGGTTTAAAAATTATCAACTTTATTGAAACGACTAGTTTGAGGTCATATAAAAATGACTGTGAGAAAATGTTAATCTACAGACACTGACAATTATCTACTGGAATACTAGAACATATTCAACATCAGTATCAATTCAGCTCTGTTTACATTCAAATGTTCCTCTAGTGGCACTTAAGTGTGGAATCAAAATCATCAATACTTTAGTACTAATACTGTTTTACTGAGGTTTTTCTGGTATTGTTCAACTGATCGTGACATAGAAGACGTTAAAAAAATGGTACGAGTTCATCCAAAATCACTAATCATCATCTGGATCCAGCAATTCTTCTTTACTACAAAAAGGCATTCTGCACTTGATCACGGTAATCTAGTGGCATTGCTTCATGTAGCAAATGTATTCAATGTGGTCTTAATGGCCTAGATTTCTTTGAATTGGCTCCAGATTTTACTCTTTAATAACTAGTCCTGACTATTCAACTGAAATAACCCCATAAATGTCTACATACAAAACTTATGACAGGAGAAAAAATCATTGCTTATACAGCAACAACTCCACTAAGGCCATGATGAAACCATTCAATCTTAAGGAAACATTTTTTGGCAGGTTGTTGTCTGTTATGTTGTTTCACAATTATTTTTACAGTGCGTTACACTTGCATCAGATTTAACACCACACTTCAAACTGACTTCTTATGACCTTAAGAATTTGTGTCGAGACTGATGAATGCTATGAAGACACCAAGCATATTTTAGCTGTGTAATATTCCTGACATTGAGAGGATGATGGTCTGGACAGGTCTTTTTTAAATTATGCAGATCGCTATACGGTAACTTAACTGTAACTCAACTGATTTTAAAACATTCCTTTAGTCTTAACCTTTGAAGCAATATAGACAGTCTTAGAGACATTTGGCAGGATTCAATGGATTAACCACACAGAGCTGCCTTTACAACCTCTTTTCAGCTAGTTAAGATCAGTTTAAAGAGCAACAGAATGAAGAGCAAGAATAAAGGCAAGCAAAAAGGATGATCTCCCCCATTATGATTTCCTCAGGTCAGAGTTCAGATCTGCTGGCTCTGTGGATGATCTGATTGTAATTTGTTTTTCTCTTGGGTTTGTATTTGAGGAGCTTGCTAAAGTCAGTGAGGAGCCTTTCCCAGTAACAAGACACGTCCTCCATACGGAGATGATCCAGAATAAAGTTCTGGCCCCTAAAGAAGTACAGAACCATAAATATAAGTATTAGCACAGACAATGTCTTAAAGGGATAGTTCAGCCAAACATAAACATTCTATGATCATTTCCTCATACTCATGTTGTTCCAAACGTATATGCACCTTTTTCTTCTGCAAAAAACAAAAGAAGCTAGTCTGAACAATATTGGTAGTCTCGCGTAGCCAGACCTTCAGACTGACGGCTGAAGGTCTGGAATCCATGGCAGCTTTTATTGGCCATGAGGCTGTTTGACAGACATGTCAAACACCCAATCACAGGTCGTTTCGTTCAGCGTCACGTTTTGGGGCGTGGAAATTTCGCCACAACAACAGACCGGTGTGTAAAACTCGCGGACGTATTTTAAAGATTCTATGTCACGAACTTTAAATATTTCACATACTTTTGAAAATCCAGCGTCCTGATAAGCGCTCATCGTCACAGTTGTAATCACGACGGCTTTCTTCTTTCGTGAGGGGGTTTGGCATCACGGCATCTTTGTTTCCAGGCGGAACGTTAAAGAACACAACACACACGTCTCCCGGAAATCCTATATAATTAAACCAATCCGATGACAACTTCGAAACTCCTGAAGTGTTTCCATTTTGTGTGCCGTATGCATCAGACATTCAGCCAATGGTCCGTTGGCGTGACATCTGAGGCTGAGACTAGGCACGGGCCGATTACCAGTTTCAAGGTATACCGCGATTTGAAAATTTCACGGTTTCAAAACTATTAATATTTTCTGTTATACCGTTCCTGCGGTATGCGCTGTTTTTCATGTCTCCTCAAAGACTGAAAGTGTAGGAATCCCTCAGGTTGAGTGCAGTGTAGAGAGTAACACGACTCTTCTCCTCCTGTTGGTGCGAGCGAGCGGTCAGTCACGTGTGTGTAGGATGGCCGAACTTAAGGAGCTACCCCTGGAACTTATGCGATCGGCAACTGGCCGTTTCTCTCTTTAAAGCTGTCTATACCTGACAAACTAGAATAAAGGGTATACTCATTAAAAGGCTGAACAATTTGTTACCTTATAGCAATTTCTTCTGCTACAGCATCATTTTCTTTCACAAACTGAAGCAGCTCTCTAACAACAGAAAGAAAACCAGTTTAGATGCAGTTCTCTGCTGGTGTTCTCATTAACATTTCTATAAACACATTTCACTTGTTTGATGATAATTACTTTAACAGGTCTGGAACAATATGAGGGTGAGTAAACAATGACAACATTTCAGCTGAAGATTTTACACAGACTGCATACACAATATATACCCTAAGTTTTAACATTTCCTTTTCCCATATATGCAAGACTGAAATTGGCACTTTGATTGCTGTTGGTCATGTCATTTGATATAGAAATACATATGTAACATACTTTGTGAAATGCAAATAATTTTGAGCACAAACTTAGATTTGAGCCCTTTGTCATTGTTACTTGGCCCATTGATAAAGCTTGGCAAAAGTGTTACTGACAAAAACGACTGGAATACCTTACGTGCGCATGAAAAAACAAAGCCAAATGTTCCCATTTTAGAGAACTATTTATTGTGTGTTAAAGAAAAGGGTGAATATCAGCTAGCCAGAGGAAAATGTTAAAGTTACCTGAGATCAGACAAGTCCTGTTTGACAGGAATGTAGTGAACCCAGGGCTTGAGCTGAGGGTAGAAGAACTCAAGCCAGTCCTCGCCGACGTGAAAAACCAGCGATCCACAAAGGAACAGATGCTTCAAGCGGAAACTAGCAGCCACACCTCTAAAGTTAAAAAGGTATCTGAGAGATAGGGAGAACAGACAATCTATAACAAAATGTCTAAATGCTGGTTCACTGACAGAGAGAGATCTGTTTCTGTGCTATAGCTCATGCAAAAGCAGAAATGAGACAGGTCTTACTTGTATTCACAGTGGTCAACTAGGGGGATTTCTTTGGCAGGGGGTCTACCCAAAGTGTCCTGAGGAAAAACAACAAAACAAAAATAGTAGTTCTGATATGACAAAGTCTAGCGCAAAAAGATAAAACAAACTGATTTTTAGTTTTTTTTCAATATTAAAGCACCTCTAGCTTGGTCTAGATTAGTATTACCCAATCCTTTCCTTGTATGCCCCTCAAAATCAAAAGCAATTATGATACATATAAAACTGATGGGGTGCCCTGTTGAAATACAGCTTCACAATAATAAACAGGAAATAGCAGAATCAATGATGCAAACTCAATTAATAAGACAGTTCAGATTCTCCCATAAAGCAGCTCTAAAAGTCTTTTTCCTTGTTCCTTTTTGCTATGTTACATGTGAAAGGTTTTCATATTATACAATGGGATGTGGTATTATACATGCTATTTGTTGACAATAAAGCATTATTAAAAGAAAAAAGAAAACAGTGTCATTACTTAGCTCCAGTAAGTTCAGTGTTAGTTCATTTCAGTTCAATAACTATGTAAAGTTCATCATTTAGGAAACAAATTTAATTTCAGCTGTAAAGCAGCACTACAGAAGACAAAAGTGTCATTATCCAGTTTAATTCAGTTCAAGTTTTGTTCTCATCTGATGGTGTCAGTCACTGTGGTCATATCGATACATTTCTGAAAGTTAAGTGTCTTTCAGGCCCCAACTAAGAAAGACAAAGCCAACAGCAGCAAGGCACACAAACTCCATTGGATGACAGAACTGGAGTAGAAAAAAGGGATGCCAGAAACCAGGCTCAGACGGGGGACCAGTTCAGTGGCCTAAGCGAATGAATGTTGTGATACTGATTGAGGATGCCTTATATGTTAAAGGGGTCATATGATGCTATTTTAAAAATCATTATTTTGTGTATTTGGTGTAACAGAATATGTTGACATGCTTTAATTTTAAAAAAACACATTATTTTTCAAATACTGTACATTATTGTAGGTCCTCTATGCCCCGC